CTGTTTAACCCAAAAATCTATTGATCGACTCCAGACTGTCCAGAACTCAGCTGCCAGGCTTTTAACCAGAACAAAGAAATATGACCACATTACTCCTATTTTAGCTTCATTACACTGGCTCCCAGTATGTTTTAGAATTGACTTTAAAATTTTATTGATCACTTTTAAAGCTCTTCATGGCCTCTCGTGTTGTTATATTTCTGACCTTTTAGTCCCATATGCACCAGCACTTACCTTGAGATCCTCGGGCAGAGGTCTGTTGTCTGTTCCAGAGTCTCGACTGAAAACTAAAAGGGACAGAGCATTTGCAGTCAGGCCCTGAGTCTCTGGAACAGCCTGCCCAAGGAAATCAGGTTGGCTGAGTTAGTGAACTCTCTCATTTTGAGTAATACTCTTAATCATTTTCTTGCTGAGTCAGATAACACAATTTATAATGAGTGACCACTTTATAAGGTACATATGTACAATCTAATGTAATCCAATGTAACTGTTCTAAAATAAATTCACTTTTATGATGTTGGGGGTTCCTTTATGTGACACTGTCATAGTGGTATTGTTAGTGGTGGTGTTGTACTGCATTATATTTAGAGATGGATGTAATATTCTGCCCCTTTCATGTTTGTAAATAGGCAGAACAAAACATCAGAAACACCTTTTGGTATAATGCACTATTACCTCAATAATAAACAGATAATTAAATGTACACATTTCCAACAGTGTCAACAAAAAAATTTACATTATAACCTTTGTAAAGGTCCACAGAACTTCTGATTCAGGTGAAACTTCTCTGTAAGTTCATCACTATGTACGTTCATCACTATGAGCAACAACTTTAACATTGTTTTCACATTGTCATACATTGTTATTATAAACATTTTGATTATAACCGCTTTCTTCCTCTGTAACATTCAATATTCATGACTAAATAAGCAACAAACATAGTAACTACACATTGTTAAGTATTATTTATTAAATGTTTTCAAGCCAGTGAGAAGAGAAAAAAAAAACAGAAATCTCTCATATGAAATAACCAAAACTTTCAGGAATTTTATTAAAAGCTTTATTAAAAGGCTGACCAGATTTTTGTTTCATGTTTTTTCCACATAAATAAGTTAATAGTTATTTTGTTTCAATGGACAACTGGAGTGAGTTGTTGACTAGTCTTCTGCTGGTTCAATCTATCTGCACAAAAACATGTGGGATAGTTATGTGGGCGTGTGTGTGTGTGTGTGTCTGTGTTTTCCCAGTTTGAATCCAAGGGGCACTTTGAGAGGTAGGTCATTTGTTTTCTCCAAAAGATGAACTGTTCGGGAAATGTTCTGCAAAGGTAAAGCAGCAATATTACAGTATTAAAAAACTCCATTACAAGTAAGAGTCCTGCATTCAAAATGCCACTTAAGTGAAAGCACGTATCATATACTTGAATTTCCCTCGGGATAAATAAAGTATCTATCTATCTATCTACTACAAAAATATTATTACAGGTGTACGTGTTGTATTTTAATGTTGTAGCTGGTCGAGATGGAGCCAACTTGGATGGTTTAATTTATAACCAGAAATCATATTTTATAAGCTCATTATATATTATTTTTATTTAAAAATCATTATCAGTAAAGCAACTAGTAACTATAGCTGTCAAACAAATGAGGTGGAATAGAAGTATAAATTGACATAAAATGGTCGTACTCAAGACAAGTACCTAAGAATTGTACTTACAGTCCATGGGAAAATATAATACAATATATTGGCATTGATGGGAAATTGTGGGTTGTTTTCTTTTTCGTCATGGGAATCATTGTGCTTGGTTTAGCCTAATACAGCTATTGATAATGCAACAGACTGTATTTATCTCCCCCAAGCAGCACATGGTCCACACTCAGGCACCAATTAATCTAAGATGTACTCTATGTCCTGTGGGATGAAACACGTGGATCTGGAGGAATCCCATGCAGTATGCACATGAGAAGAACATGAGAACTCCCCATAACCTGAAAGGGGAATTCCACCTAAAATTAAATTTTAAGGTATAGTATCTAAAGCCGCTATGTTTAGAATTTCAAACATTTGGCACCCCCCAGTGGTAGAAAAAAAAGACACACTGTTGCAGTGCCTTTGCATGAACACTAGTACCCTGGTTATGTCCAGATTTCAGAGAAACCCAGAAATGCTACTTCACTTTAAGAGTCTGTGGAATTTTTCAGTACAACATGGGTGTGGGACAACTGGGACAAACACAAAGCTAATTTAATTTATATACTCCCACTTGTGTCCTCAACTCGAGTTATGTAGTGCTTATTCAGTAAATAAAAAATATAATGATCAACAATGTACAATAATGACGATGTACACTCTGAAATTAAAGTGAAAATCTTACATCGGTAATGTGGAGGACACATTTGATCGCTCTTCACTCACATCTTCTATTACTGGTAATCAGAGTGAAAAGCCAAATCAGGCTAAATGCAGGATAGGCCAAGTGGCCACACACCACTTACTAAATATCTTTATGTTTCAACTAAGTACCCCGTATATTTCTATTATGATGAAAACCATGAAAAGACTCAGGATACAAGCACAAATATTCTCAGTGTCTCCCACTGATCTTACCTGGGACACTGACATAAAAGGGCTGATAGCGACACCAACTGCATCAATTTCGACTTGAATTATGTTATTTGCAAATATAAACTTATCAGAATCATTAGAATGATGCTATAAAATCATATTAAAATTCTACAAATTGCCTTTTTAAATACACTATGGCCTCAAACGTGCAACACGATGAATGTCAATCTCAACTTAAACCCAATACTATGAGCTTAAACTAACTGTTATTTCCAGAAGGGCTTTTGTACACTATAAATAAAGATTCTGTTACTTTATTCCTATTCTGTAAACTAAACTTCCAAGAAAAACTTGCCTCTGCATAATGTTCCTATGAGCTGCAAAAAACAAAGATGATAACTTTTGCCCTGTCATATTCACTATCAGCACAGCTCCAATCCTTTATCACCACTGACATTATTTTAATTTTAATTTTAAATGACTGGTAATTATATGCTGTAAATACTGTAAATTCATTTATCTAGAAATTACTGACTTGCTTGTGTTGTTACACCTTGGTGTTACTTAGATAAATGGCTCCCTCTGCTGTTGATCATGTACAATCAACAACCATTACCTTCCTGACTAAAACAAAAGTGGCAAGGATGTAGGTTTGGTCACAACAGTGGTCAATACTGGTAGGGACATACAGCCCATATGCAAATCTACGGCCTTGTTGAACATGTTTTTGACCAACATGATACTGATTACAAATGTTTGACCATGCCTTGTGTCAAAATGACAGCCTTGTTAGAGATTCATTGAGAACGTTGTACTGTACCAACCTGTCGGGAGAATAATTTTATAAGAAAATTGTCTGCACCATAAACCACAATTACTTTTTATGCATAGTGTGTGAAGACATGTAAGGGCTAATTTACCAATATGAGAACACAAGCTTTTTTCGATTTGGAAAAGCACAGGTGTAAATAATAAAATTGAATTTTTCTTAATAGCCTCAGTTTCAGGGTCCTGTTTTTGTGCATGCTGGCTCGCTGTCACAATGTCATAGCATACTGGGACACTTGAATACGCAGTCATTGTTAGTGTTATTAGTAACACCTGTTCTTTTCATACTATGAAAAGTCAAAACATCTGCTGTGTCAATTGTGAAAGCACGTCACAATACTTATCCACAAGCAAACCCTTCTTTACTATATGGCAGAGGTCACTAATAGGCGGACCGCGGTCCGGATCCGGACCCAGCCGCCGTCCTCTCCGGACCGCTGACCTACAGCATATTTATTATTGAGACTTACTACCTCGTGACGGAGCGTTTCTATTTTAACCCGCGCAGCTTTTCTAGCATTTACTGTACTGGTTTAGAGGACCAGGAAACTCACAGACCAATCGCATGTGCTCCAATCGTCTCATGTGACACTGCTCAGCCAATCAAATCTGTGCATACCGATGCTTGCGAGTCCGCGAGATTCACCAGAGACGTTTTGGAAACACACCCGAATTGAGGAGACGAAAGATAAAAGAGATGCTCACGGAGCTCACGTTTCTCACTGAACAACAGAAAGTAGGAAAGTGGTAGCTCTGTAAGAGGAAATGAAAGAGAAGAGGAGGCATTACAGCTGTTCATTTGTTATGATGTGTTGAGTGTTTATTATAAAATTGGTTAAGACTACACTTCATCACTTCAAGCTACACTTTTTATTACATTTTTCTAAAAAATTAGGCACTTTACTTAAATTTAGAATTTATTATTTGAATAGTTATTATTTATTATCCCTCCAGTTTGATGTGAAAACTGACTGAAATATTATTTGATTTGACAGTCCGTTGTTTACTAAAAACATGTGTTGATACAACTATAGGTTATAGTACTGAATGATAACGCAAGTTCGTCGTTTTGATGTTCCGGACCTTTGCTTCAGGAAATTTTCTCTAACTAGACCTCTTTGAAATCTAACTGAATACCCCTGCTATATGGTTTGGTACAACAGTACAGTCACTATATGTTGTATAGAATTATACACAATATAGTGAAAATGCATAATGTTCACCAGATTTAAAGGCCCAACACTCGCATGGTTCACCGACAGAGGTGTCATCATTCGTTTCTGCTAACAATCCCCATTATTTTTTAACAAAAACACTAACATTTTTGGTTTAGAGATGTCAGAATGACACAAAATGATCAATTTGCTGCTCACTATTGAGTAAACTATTATAAGTGGGCATTATATAGAGCAGTGAACGAGTGAACAAGTGAGTGATTACGGATACTGTTTGACTGACATCTCTCTGACCCTAGTTTTATTGCACCTGTCTGGGTCTGGGTCATGTAATTCCCGAATAACTTCAACCTGAGCAGAAGCCTAATCAATGTCTGTTAACACCTGTGTTGGTGTACAGGGAAATTAAAAAGTTGTAGTATAAGTAAGTGAGTGTTGGACAGGGGCTGATGTACAGCAGCTGTTTTATTTCTTGCATGTCTATGTGTGAAAAAAAGTGTAAGCAGGTAAATGTCATCGATATTTTGTGAAATAAAATTACAGTGGTTGAAACTGCAGTTTTCATAAAAGTAGTACAGCACCTCAACAGTGAATATTGGTCCAGTAAGCTAATAGGAGCAACTGTGGGTCTAAAACATCCACATTTGTTGGTTTTACAAACAAAACAATTATTGTGTAAGTGTTACTTTGGGTAATTGTGATGGCATTTCTCACTATTTTCAGATTTTTTTACAAAACAAACAATTAATGGATTAATTGAGAAAAACAAATCAGAACAGATTAATCCATAATGAAAATAATCATTTGTTGGATTTCAATACAACATAGTTAAGAATTAGCTCCACCTCAACCAACTACATGAGAAAAATCCTGTTTTACATTAATGCAGGAGTAATAATAATCTAATGATATAATATGTAGTAGTATAACAAGATACTATGTTTGTGAGATGTTTGCATGCCACAGGGCGGCTGTGGCTCAGGAGGTAGTGCGGGTTGGCAGTTAATCAGAAGGTTGGTGGTTCAATCCTGAGTTGTTAAAAAGACTAGAAAGGCGCTATACAGAGCATTTACATTTATACCTTATAATGGTTTCAGTCACATATTATTGATCCTATTGAGCATAAAACCACCATTTCAATACTACAGGTGTTTTTCCATTCTTAATATCGTGACCTTGGCAAGCTTTAAAATCCAAATGGAAGACTCTGTTTCGGAGTGTGAGAGGACGTGGCTGAACCCCAGTTTTTTGTACAGGGCCACAGCAACGGTCTGAATGGAGCTGGTATGCAGCACCACCTTGGAGAAACCTCGTTCTTTACAGAAGTCAACAACAGTTTGAGTCAACCTAAAGCCCAGGCCCATTTGTCTGCACGATGGTGAGATGATCATTCTGAATAGTTCTCCATGTCTTTCTTTACCACTTTCTTTGGCCACTACAGCCACCATACCCATGATATAGGCCCTGCCATCAACCTCAGCCTCCGCTACCCAGAAGCACTCATCAGGCCTGCTCAGATACTTCCCAGGGATGTCCTGCATGTCTGTCTGGAGTTTCTCCCTGACGTAGCCGGCATAAATCTCATGACAGCAGTAGTAGATGAACCCCACCCAGATTCCTGGCAACGCCACAGCCCCTAACAGAGAGCCGAGGAGGAGGCCAGCAACACACAGACCCAGGGTGATGGTGAGGTAGAGAGGGCTGGTCATGGCGTTGTGAAAACATGGACGGATGTGCTCCCGGATGCCGACGCTGAACAGGGTGAGAACTGCATCCTTGTCTGAGGGACGGTACCGGCGGATCACCACCTGCATGGCTAGAAGGAACTAAAGGGAAATAAAATAAAGGACTGGCATGTGAAATCTTAAACTAAAATGCCAAGTATAAGCTCTTTAGGGAACTAATAATTATTTTCATTATCAATTATTTCTCAATTAATTGTTTTGTCAGTAAAAAGACAGAAAATTGTATTATGCTAAAAATGATACTTTCCCAGAGCTTGAGGTGGCATCTTCCTTCTTTTATTTGACAATCACTCCAAAAACCAAAGATATTCAGTTTGCTATCATATATAAAAAAGAAAAGCAGCAAGTACTCATATGATAAGCTGAGAGCCCGTACAAGTTTAGCATTTGACTTGAAAAATAGTTTGCCATTGACAAACCAATAAATCGTTTCAGCTCTAAAATGTTTTATGGAATTCACTTTCTGCCTCTCACTAATAACACGGCTGTGTAAAATGTACAACATGGTTATATTTATAGTGTTTGAGCATAATCAATTCAAATATTGCTATAGGGCAAGGTACTAATTCAACACAATTATTACTTATCAACCTTCAGTATTGTGATGATATGATTTTATAGTGTGATATAATATATTCATTTGTTACAGTTGTTTAGCTTTTGCTTGTTTGAGAGATACTTCAAAGCCAAAAACCAGGACATCAATCATTTCACATTATTATCTATATCAAATATTAACTCAGTGACAGCCATGTAACTAAGATTAGGATTTATTCAAGCACTGTATTTTTGAGGTCCTTGTGTTTTCCTTGAGTATTTCCATTTCATGCTACTTTATACTTAAACTCCACTACATTTCAGCGGAAAATATTTTACTTTTTAAAGTTAATTTTTACAGGTTCAGATTAATGCAAATGATTTCTAATATTCAACAACAATCCATACATACATGATGATAATTTATTGTAGCTTAAGCTACCAGGCAGTCAAGTAGTAGCCTAGTAAATAATTAGCTTCACGTTTACCAGCCTAGTAGTTCCCCAAAAATAGGCTAATGCTTAGGCTACATAGTAATTATAATTCAATAATATAAATATTTATTAGGCATAAATTCCATTAATTTATTATCTTCTATTTTTAATTTATCATCTTCATAATGAGTAGTATACTTTTTGTACATTAAGAAGGTCTATATTTGAATGCTAATTTTACTTTTAATAAGTAAATTGTTGAATGCATGACTTTAACAGAGTGTTTCTTGTCTGTGGCATTGCATCTTTTACTAGAGTAAAATATTGGCTAAGAATGCGTTCCCCCGCCCCCCCAAAAAACAAAACACACACACACACATAGCCTACTTGTCGGCTACTTTAATAACATTTTAATGAAAACTGTAGCCCACTTACGTTAAGTTACTCAGACGACTTGTAAAACTGGTCCTTGTCCAACAACAGCACAGTCCAACAATTAGCGGCTCAAACGAACTATGGACATTCTGACAAACACCATGAAATCGTTTAAAAATTAACTTTACCAGGGACACGTTAACATAATCACGGCGTTGACAAAGAAATGATCTTTAAAGACATAGTTTTACTCATATGTCGGGTCTCAGTAGATCGAAAAAGTAATGATTAACGTCTGTTATTCAACTCACTGCAGAGTCTGCGCGGCAACGTAAATAATTATGTGGATCCAAACCACTTTAATGTTTATTCGCCCCATATAATCATCTGTAGGCTACGGAATAGTTGTCTTTTGTAACCACAATGTTTCCACATACCTTTCCTCCTCCAAACCCCTCCGTGATCTGTGACGCGGATGCAGTTTGGTCTATTCATCCATAGACATAATATAGAGATGTATTCATCCACACTTCAGCCTAGAGAACAGGGGCCTTTCCGAAAGTGCACGCTCGTCACTTCCTCTCCGATACGGAGTGAACTCTGGTCGGAGTCACCTTCACAGCCAAATCGAGCTCACTAACCCGCCTAGGGTTTAAATACAGCGGACAACTTTCGGACGAACTACCCTCTCCCCCCAGCGTAAATAGGATCTGACGTTACCGCTGCACTCACTTGTGTACTCAAGAAAAGTACCTAAGAATTGTACTTACAGTCCATGGGAAAATATAATATATTGGCATTGATGGGAAATTGTGGGTTGTTTTCTTTTTCGTCATGGGAATCATTGTGCTTGGTTTAGCCTAATACAGCTATTGATAATGCAACAGACTTTATTTATCTCCCCCAAGCAGCACATGGTCCACACTCAGGCACCAATTAATCTAAGATGTACTCTATGTCCTGTGGGATGAAACACGTGGATCTGGAGGAATCCCATGCAGTATGCACATGAGAAGAACATGAGAACTCCCCATAACCTGAAAGGGGAATTCCACCTAAAATTAAATTTTAAGGTATAGTATCTAAAGCCGCTATGTTTAGAATTTCAAACATTTGGCACCCCCCAGTGGTAGAAAAAAAAGACACACTGTTGCAGTGCCTTTGCATGAACACTAGTACCCTGGTTATGTCCAGATTTCAGAGAAACCCAGAAATGCTACTTCACTTTAAGAGTCTGTGGAAATTTTCAGTACAACATGGGTGTGGGACAACTGGGACTAACAAAAAGCTAATTTAATTTATATACTCCCACTTGTGTCCTCAACTCGAGTTATGTAGTGCTTATTCAGTAAATAAAAAATATAATGATCAACAATGTACAATAATGACGATGTACACTCTGAAATTAAAGTGAAAATCTTACATCGGTAATGTGGAGGACACATTTGATCGCTCTTCACTCACATCTTCTATTACTGGTAATCAGAGTGAAAAGCCAAATCAGGCTAAATGCAGGATAGGCCAAGTGGCCACACACCACTTACTAAATATCTTTATGTTTCAACTAAGTACCCCGTATATTTCTATTATGATGAAAACCATGAAAAGACTCAGGATACAGGCACAAATATTCTCAGTGTCTCCCACTGATCTTACCTGGGACACTGACATAAAAGGGCTGATAGCGACACCAACTGCATCAATTTCCACTTGAATTATGTTATTTGCAAATATAAACTTATCAGAATCATTAGAATGATGCTATAAAATCATATTAAAATTCTACAAATTGCCTTTTTAAATACACTATGGCCTCAAACGTGCAACACGATGAATGTCAATCTCAACTTAAACCCAATACTATGAGCTTAAACTAACTGTTATTTCCAGAAGGGCTTTTGTACACTATAAATAAAGATTCTGTTACTTTATTCCTATTCTGTAAACTAAACTTCCAAGAAAAACTTGCCTCTGCATAATGTTCCTATGAGCTGCAAAAAACAAAGATGATAACTTTTGCCCTGTCATATTCACTATCAGCACAGCTCCAATCCTTTATCACCACTGACATTATTTTAATTTTAAATGACTGGTAATTATATGCTGTAAATACTGTAAATTCATTTATCTAGAAATTACTGACTTGCTTGTGTTGTTACACCTTGGTGTTACTTAGATAAATGGCTCCCTCTGCTGTTGATCATGTACAATCAACAACCATTACCTTCCTGACTAAAACAAAAGTGGCAAGGATGTAGGTTTGGTCACAACAGTGGTCAATACTGGTAGGGACATACAGCCCATATGCAAATCTACGGCCTTGTTGAACATGTTTTTGACCAACATGATACTGATTACAAATGTTTGACCATGCCTTGTGTCAAAATGACAGCCTTGTTAGAGATTCATTGAGAACGTTGTACTGTACCAACCTGTCGGGAGAATAATTTTATGAGAAAATTGTCTGCACCATAAACCACAATTACTTTTTATGCATAGTGTGTGAAGACATGTAAGGGCTAATTTACCAATATGAGAACACAAGCTTTTTTCACATGTTCCAATTTATGAGCAGATAGCGATTAGGAAAAGCACAGGTGTAAATAATAAAATTGAATTTTTCTTAATAGCCTCAGTTTCAGGGTCCTGTTTTTGTGCATGCTGGCTCGCTGTCACAATGTCATAGCATACTGGGACACTTGAATACGCAGTCATTGTTAGTGTTATTAGTAACACCTGTTCTTTTCATACTATGAAAAGTCAAAACATCTGCTGTGTCAATTGTGAAAGCACGTCACAATACTTATCCACAAGCAAACCCTTCTTTACTATATGGCAGAGGTCACTAATAGGCGGACCGCGGTCCGGATCCGGACCCAGCCGCCGTCCTCTCCGGACCGCTGACCTACAGCACATTTATTATTGAGACTTACTACCTCGTGACGGAGCGTTTCTATTTTAACCCGCGCAGCTTTTCTAGCATTTACTGTACTGGTTTAGAGGACCAGGAAACTCACAGACCAATCGCATGTGCTCCAATCGTCTCATGTGACGCTGCTCAGCCAATCAAATCTGTGCATACCGATGCTTGCGAGTCGAGTCCGCGAGATTCACCAGAGACGTTTTGGAAACACACCCGAATTGAGGAGACGAAAGATAAAAGAGATTTCACATGACTTTTAATCAAGAATTTACAGATTTTTACATGTACATTCCTCCCACGGGCAGTTCAAAACCAGAATATCTCATAGATCTCCAATATGCTAGCTGGAGCTCACGTTTCTCACTGAACAACAGAAAGTAGGAAAGTGGTAGCTCTGTAAGAGGAAATGAAAGAGGCATTACAGCTGTTCATTTGTTATGATGTGTTGAGTGTTTATTATAAAATTGGTTAAGACTACACTTCAAGCTACACTTTTTATTACATTTTTTCTAAAAATTAGGCACTTTAGTTTACTTAAATTTAGAATTTATTATTTGAATAGTTATTTATTATCCCTCCAGTTTGATGTGAAAACTGACTGAAATATTTTATTTGACAGCCCAGATAGCAAAAATCATGCGGCCCAGATCCTTCATAAGTTCTGGGCCAGATCTGTCTCCTTTAGCACAACGGGCCAATGCCGGCGCGGATCCGGTTTTCACATCTGGGCCGGCACTGTTCCAGCTCCAGAATGGATGACAATTATGTAGTCATTTGGCCCAAATGTGGGCCAGATCTGGACTAGTTCCATACTGGATCTGGCCCAGAGTCTCTAAGATACTTTTGAGGATCCGGTTTTCACATCTGGACTGGCACTGGGCCAGCTCCATTTATTAGTTCTGGCCTCTTTCATAACCTTGATCTATACCCACAAAACATATACAAAAATGTGGATTTTTGTTATGGCAGGAGCTGGTCTATATAATGTATAACAAATAGTGACTTGTATATCACTAAGGTACACTAAGATTTCTTGTTTTACTTTCGTTTTCTTTTTCCTTGCATTTTAAACGCGATTACTTTTTTCTTTTGAATTTAAAAAGCATGGACAGTCAAAACTACTGTTACACTGTTACAAAGACTGTTTCTATTTGTCCTACACAGAATTTCAACAAAGAAAGTGATAGAACGGATGAGTGACACATTTTAAATTTAATTGAAAATACACATTTTAAATTTATTTGAAATGTTTGAGATAAAGAGAGGACAGAAACTTAAAACAAAGTAGATAATTGCCAAACTAACAATCAATCTAATAAACACATTTTACAGCTCATTTCTGTCTTTAACAACTGTAGGAACAAGAAACTTCACTCCAGTTGACTTGCAGGTGACAATTAGTTTCTAGTAACTGTACAGTAACCACACACCTATGACACAGGTGTTATTTTTAAATGAATGCAGAAGTATTAAACTCTAATAATAGCAACAGTGTGGCTTAGTTAAAAAGCTCAATACATTGACATTGCTATCAGTCTTGCATAGTGTAGTGTACCATTAATAATGATGGTAAGAAAGTAAGATTTCTTTCTCCCTGAGAAACATATAAAGCTAAAGCCAGGAGACACACGAGATTCTACAGCCTAAACACACAAGATAATGTTTTAATTAGCGACAAGCAATAAGTTTGTCTTGATAGATGATTACTGCCAGCCATTTAGATTTTAACCATTTTCCATGACCCTGGTATAAATAAAAGATTTTATAGCCAAAATACAATATCCAACTCCAACTAGTCATGTGAAACCCTGAAAAAAAATGTAAAATGTTCATACACATTGTTTGGTGGCTTTACGGGTAACATTGATGAGGCAAGTGGAGAAGTGGGAATGCCATAACCCTCACATGACACCCAACAAATCATCAGTAGTGGAAGAGTGGGGGATGGCCGATGTGTTCATTTCTGCGAAGGATAAAAGAATGGGTGATTACTCAACTGATAATGGCAATCACAAATTACATAAAATCCACAGATTAGTCATTTTAAAAGGTGGCTAGACTAGACTAGGGCTGGAAGATTTGACCTAAAATCAAAATCCCGAGTGAAGTGAACATTTTACCGCGATTACAACTAATGAATGATTATTTTGTTTTTTTTGCCCTCCTAGTTCACTGACCAGGCTTGTACTGCAAACATGCTCAACTATTGTAGGTGGGGTGGTTTTTTTAGACTCACAAATGTCAAAAAACGATTAAGTAAATGTTAACTGATAAGATAATGTTGAAGTGCACACAACAGATGTACTCCCCCTAAATTTGGCATATCGCCACTACTAATATTTCACATGATCAATTAATATCAATGTGCATTAATCTCGTGCAACAGTGTTGTGTGCATGTGACCAAATGTGAGAGAGTGAGCAGCTGAAAGTGACGGTGAAAGTGAGCGAGGTTGTTGTAAGTGTGGCAGTAAATGATCAGTGTGGGTCAAAGTGTGTTCATAAATAAATGCTGCTGGAAAATTAAGGCAGTTAGCACTAGTTAACATCTCCCTGTGCTCCAGACTCTGGGAGCTGAGCAGGACAGGGCGGAGTCACTGACTACAGTTTTTTAAGGGGAAAGTACATAAACACAGGGGGACATTTTAACAGGAAATAAAACAACTAAAATGGTAAAATTACAGCCGTTAGAGCTCGGAATTTGGGTTTCAATTACTTCAATTAGACGTCCAGCCCTAGAGGGGAGACATCATGAAAAACTCCCCTTTTCTCTCCCCATTTGGGTATCAAACTGTGAAATAAGACAACCCAGACAGGTTTTTGTGGGTTGCCTAGATCA